AACCCTCAACAGTCTGCAGAATCCCCTCACTGATTACACTGTAAATGATAATCTACCTTAACCAAAATCAAAGTAGACTATCACTCACCCACACCAGATGGAAAACTCTACAGACCGTCGGTTCACACCCCATCACAAGCCAGCAAAACATCCACGAAACAAAGAAAGGTCTGTCACAGCCAAAAAMTACACTCCAGACACGCCGCTGGCACTTATATATATCTTTTTAATTTTTAATTCATTTTTGGCCTGGCCGAGGAAGTTGTCCTGGCCACTCTGGTCACACAGGTTTCGACCGGAAAACGAAATGAAAGAAAACCTTTCCCTTTCGGGAAAAGGAATACTTCACCCTTTCTCTTTCCGGCTGTCTGACAGCCTGGCAACCTCTGACACTCACCCTCTGACACTGACACACATTACTGCGCACCTCGCAATCCATCTGCGCACTTTTTTTCATCGACGGCTTTTCCCACGATCACCCAACCACCATTCGCAGCACAAGGTATCGACCAAACGTAGCATTTTGAGACCAAATAAAAAACTGCCACGACACCAGTGTCGGAGCCCGAGGCTGATGAACTTCAGTATACTGTTGAGTAGATTTTGCGACGACGCTCAGCCAACAGTTGCTCGTACAGCACTTCCACGCAGCATACTTTTTTCGCCAGTTTTTTTCAAATAAATTCTGGAAATTCTCCACTTCTCGACGCACAACCGCTCCAGCTGCCCGTCCAGGTCTGACGGTGGTCCTGGTCTGACAACAGACAGGTCAGGGTGCTTCCCGACATTTGGCCACACTACCTACAGACTGCACACGCCGATTCGACAAGCGCTCTAGCTCGCGCTCTAGCTCGCTGTCCAGGTCTGAGACCAGACAACATTCAGGGCCATCCCAACATTCGCCCATCCCGACTACCTCGACTCGACAGAAAACAAATTATTCCGGCACACACCCAGACTCGTAGAGATACCACACAACCTTGGCCATTTCCCGGCCTGGACGCGGAACTCCGTCTTCCCTCTGCTACATCGTATCGTATTAATAAAACACAAAAGTGTTTATATCCCCAAGCAGACTACGCACACACTCCACTGCCATCACTCAACCAACAGCGCGATACATGTAGCCACCTACAATCCACCTGACAATCCTTTCAGGAGAGAGAGAAACCAAATGGTCATGACTTTACGACTAACTAACGGAATGATGGGACCTTCCACTTCCACATGCACACAATAGACCAGCAGCGAAGACCAGCGAAGTCAACCGGAAGTCCACCGAATGGTTCCCAGATCACACAAAAGCTAAGCAGTGTCTGTCGAAAGCAAACCTCCAAACTTCATAATAGCCGAACACAATGCTTCGGAGTCTCCACTGACGGCAAATCAGTACACCACCTCAAGGGGTTATGGCAATCACTATCACACTCCTACTCCACATGAGCAAAGCAATTTTCCACAGCCAGTGGCAGCATGCCCACTCTTCCCGCC